TTGAAAATATTAGGGTAGATTATGATAATACTTGAGAATCAAGAAACACATATGTTGATGCAATATTTAAACCTTTCGAAGAAATTCATAAGTCTGTTTTGCTTCTCCTGTGTCACAACAGGTTGATCCAAGAATATTATGCTAGCTTCCTGAGAAAAAAATTCAGCAATGTTGGAACCGATAAACCGAGAAAGAAAACACAAGCTTTAGTAATAGTTTGTGATGGTCAATCACCTTTGTTAAAGAATATGAAGTGGAGACAAGAGAAGGCAAATCTCCATTATAACCCTCAGTCTTGAAAGTCAATGGCCCTGCACTTAACCAAATAACTTGATTTAGAGAATTAATTTAAGATCAAATCTTTTTTAGTTTTCTTTTTCTTGAAAATACCGATTCCGAATTAATTAAAGATCAAAGAGCTTTATTACGATAGAAAAGAGATCATGAAAACAAAGATCGCTCTGTGAATTGTGATTGTGTTGTATTGATAATGAATGATCGTGTTACGCTTCTATATACAAGGTATAAAATTATTTGACTTGATCGAGCTGATCAAAATCAAGAAGGTCCGAAATTGGAAATTTTAAGACATATATGAGTAGATTTCATGCATAGCCTGGAAAAACAAAGATCATACCTCTTTCTTTTGGATAATATGATTAGACTGGAGGAATCGGATCATCAGATTGATTGACAGCAGTTTCAGCGTTCTGGTTNTGCTTGGTATAGTACGTAACGAAGAGGAACCAAAAGACACACATAATAGCAACGACGAGGGCGAAGATAGGAGAAATGAGCGAGACGAGGATGTTAACCGCGGCTACGCCAAAGAAATGACTTGCCTTCCTAACAAAGTGGTAAGTGAGAGATTGGTTTCGTCTGAGCTTTGCTTCTTGTACGAGAAGGACGAAATAGATGAGGCAGAAGGACAAGAAGCAAAGGACTGTGGGATCACGAATCTCAGCCTTTGTTGGGGTGCTTTGGAGTAAACCGATAACAATCATTTTGATGGTTAAGATAACGAAGTGTGGTACGGAGGAGTACACAGCGTTATCTGATGTGCTCTCATCGTCACCGGAACTAGTTTGAAAGGAAGAATTGATAGTACCCATGTCTGTGTTTTTCCTAAAAGAGCAATGGGTTTGGGGAGAGAAAGAAGAGCAGTACGTAAGAGGATCTGAGGAAGTGAAGGATATATATGACCATGATTATCCATGAGATTTCTATGGTTTCAACCAATAAAAAATTATTAAAAACACACTCTCTCTTTTTTTTATTCAACTTTATACCTTCTCTTTCATCCTTTTTCTCAACTTTTATTAATTTTATATTTAAACACANCCCAACTAAAACAAACTTACTCTATAAAACTCTCCAAANTCTCANCCTCATGAGATTCTCTCTCCAATTTTATCCACTATCTCATCTTTTTACTCAAATTTTATTAATTTTATAATTCAATACACTCCACTATTTCAACAAAAAACACTNTCTTTCTTCCTTTTACTCTAATTTTAATAATTTTTTATTTATTGAGACCATGAAAATCTCATGAAATCTCATGGATAATCATGGCCTTAGAGCACCCACATTAGAGATTTGTGAGTGCGTCTCTCCAATTAAAAAAATTAAAAATTGACCAAAAATGGTGAAAAATAGAGAGACGACATATGTCTTGCCTTTT